CACAACAGTAGATTGTCTTGCGAATAAAAGAATTATTATTTCATGCTTTCGCTTCACCTTGTCAACATAATAATATTGTTGCTTCAAACTTTATGATAAAAACCCCGATTTTCTAGACGTGTATACAAATAAAAATAGTAAGTTTATGCTATAAATGAGTTTATTTTACCTCAGTCGGTTTAAATTCGCTGTTAAGTTGCAAATAATTCTGTTTGAGAACGCAATAATTGGGCATTTCGCAACCAGGGCAGTTTCAGGGCAGTTTTGGCCTTGTTGTTGGGAAATCCACTTGGCCTTCTATTGTTTCGCTTGCGTCAGGCTTGTGTCCTTCCTCCGCCACGCCCCCAAATCACCTAGTCCCAGTCTTTTCATGTGAAAAAGCGCTGAATATTAAAAAAATATAAATAAAACTAGAAGGCCTAGGTCTAGGCTGCCTAAATAGGTAGTCCAAGAACCAAAAAAGTGGTACGGGTACCAATTTTATCCGTGCCGTACCAAAAATTGAGCGTAGTGTAAACGGCGCTTTACAATGTATGTTCTAAAGCTTATTGTGCGAAAGCAGGTTAGTTTAACCCTAGGTTAGCACTAAACTTAACTTCAATGCGAATTTCCTGTCAGCTTGCATGCTTACGGCTTACGGGCAAATATGTTTGCAGAAATCTTGTCTTGATCAATAAAAGTTTTATTTTCCAAATTTTTAAAATAAACGACGTGCGGAAATGCGCAAAGCAAAATAGCGCTGTGTATTTAACCCAAGGTTATAGCGCTATCATGCTAAATTATTATAACCGAATATTTAATCAGGATCGTCCAATTCAACCATTGACTTTAAATGGAGTCCTGGAAAGTGAAAGTGCAATTCCAATAATACTGTAAATTTGTACGCTTTTGCATCTTATTACGCTCCTCTCCCCCAAGTTAGATTACTGAACGTTTCCAGGTTTCCAAACCAAAGTATTTTCATTAACGAACTATACAAACACCCAGTTATTTTTGAAAGAAGAACATCTACATTTCTGGTTCCCCGTCCGTTTCCGCGCAGAATGGTATTTCAGCACTTGCATTCTGATGATGACGCTGTCTTGTCAATTTCTTACACATATGACTTTGTATAGCGAAGTATACCACAATACTGACCAGAATAATGAATATCAATACTGATAACACGATTGTGCTGATTTTATAGGGATAGGAATGCTTTGATTTCTTCGTATCATTTGAGTCTGGCCGTGGATTGATAATTGGATTGGAAGATGGAGTGTAACGCTATAATAAGGTAAATATTATTTCATTTTCTTAAAACGATGCTGCGCTGATTAAGGAGCCTGTGCAGTGTGCATGCATGCACGCCACATGCACCTACGCAGATTTGCTTTGGGAACCAAGGGTGGGTGGTAGCGAATTAGTAGTTGTAGTTCGCTACTGTAGCGAACTACAATTTTCAAGTAGCCAGTAGTTTTTGACTACTGTATTAAAACAGTAGCTGTAGTTATAGCGAACTACATTTTGCCTAAAAGTAGCCAAGTAGATGACTACTTTTCAAACAGAAAATCGCTATTCACTACTTTTTAAAATTGTTAGCAACTTGATAGAATAGCGTGATATTGAGACACGATTTACTTAAAATCAATCCTCAATGGTCAATTGCACTCTTGAACACTGTAGTGTTTACAAAAATGTTGCTTTGTGTTTACTTTTGCTACTCGTAAGTCGATTTGTTATAGGTTACATTTCAGCCTGAGTTAGTAGATGCTCCAAATACAGTAAAGCTATAAAGTATAGCGTAGCGAAATAGCGAAATAGTTCGCTACATATTTTTGAAGTAGCTACAAAAATTTTGTAGTCAACCCACCCTTGTTGGGAACACGGCTGGTCCCCTCTTGTAAATAGTGACATCGAACGTTGAAAGGATGTCCCTTGTTGGACCTCTAAGGAGAACACTTTAAAATTCAATAAAGCTATCCAGCATGAAGTTAGCTTATAGGTTAGGTTTTCCTCTGTAGTAACACTGGACATCGATAGACCCCGGGGAGAACAGTTTAGAACTGATAGAGCTATCCAGTAATAAGCTAGATTATAGTTAATATAAGCTAAAAGAGAACATAGTTGGATGTTTACCTCAAACGAACCGAGAAACTTTATCAAGACGCAGTGTTCTTCACTTGTCGTTTTAGACGAGCATTTTACTTGAAGTTTGAGAACTGTACCAGTCCAGTTTCTGTAAGATGTGATAGGAATCTAAGCGCAAATGGAAGTAGTTAAGAAATCAAATAGTTTCCTATATATACTGTACATTCGTTATTATCCGTGCGATAGTCCTTGAACGTTAACAAATGGGCTCTCAAAAAGGGGGGCTGGGGCGACAAGGCGTGGGTTGGAGATACTATTTCTGGTTCCACTAATTCTCCATTCTTCTGCTAATCGCTATTCGAAAAGCAGAAAATGTATGGTCAAACAGGATTTTTTAGGGTGGTGCTGGACTTCTCCAAGGCGGTGCTAGACACTATTACAGTAGGTGTGGTACGCACCCCATCGCAGCCCCTGAACAGTACCTGTCAGCGGGATTTACAGATATTAAGAGGTTCTGGCTGACCGATGGCCATGCAGTTGCAAAGAACAACGCAATACCGAACCCTCTGGACAATCCTTTCTCATTATCAGGAATAAAATATAGTAGTTGATGCAGTCTACTTGGTTAAAACAACAAGAATTCACAATTGTTGTATACGATTGCATAAATTAAGTAATATTCATTTACGATACGAGTTGAATTAGAATGCTGCATATTCATATATTATTTCCTTTGATATTCCACATGATACTATTGAAGCAAGAATACTTGATATACAAGAATACTTGGCCAACATCCTAAGGCTTTAGCACAGTGACGGTTCAGAGACTGTCTGTCATGCTTCCCTGTGAAACCTAATCTGAAAGTTATAAGTATACATGGATTTTTGCTATATCATTGGAAAAGGGCACTTTCCAGAAAACGAGGGAACCATATAATCATTCCAGAAAACGGGGCCCTTTTCTCAGTCCTGTATAGCTCCTACTACAGAAATGATAAAAAACTGACCTTTATGTAAATTCCTCTGGAATTCTCTGCAGGAGAAATGGTGATATCGTTGTCAGGTTTTGGTACATATTGCCAAGGCTTATTGTCTACCAAGTAACTTGATGTTTTCCAGTTGATAAAACATTTTGCATTTTCTTCATAAATTGGTGCCAAAATTTTGGTGGTTGTTAAACATTTCTCGACGTTCTTGCAATCTAGGTCTCTCTTGAAACTCCCATCGTTGAAGCGATAGCAACCTGATAAAAAAGTGTCACTAACCTCAAGCATAATTTTTGGTGCGAGTATAATAATGGCAATATTAGGATTATTACGATCTGTTGCAAGAATGATACCAAACTAGATACAATCTGACTTATAGAAATGAGCGAATAATTGTTTTTCCTTGCATGTATAATGACCGGATTAATAATCATGTATATTTGTAATGTGCAGTTCATATAATTAACTGATATCTATAATTATTTTATCATATAATGAAAGTTAAATTGTAATTGTATTCAGCTCACTGTTTTAAAAGACACGTGTAATTAATTCCACATGGGTGATTAATTCCAGCTATAGACTAAATTTTGATCAAGGCAAGAAGAACGCAATCCAATTACTGAACATTATAGAAAGAGCGTCTTGATTGGTTGCTAAATGTTGTAAAATGAAGAAAATATAGCCCTGTGAAGTTCGCAAATTTTGTATATACAGTACCTGTATTTGTGTTACGCGCGGTAAAAATAACCACTTTCGGCTCAAAAATGCGGGTTATTTTTCCCGCGGGTAATGCAAATATATAAAAAATTTGAGAATTTCACAGGGCTGTATTTTCCTCATTTTACAACAATTCCCAACCAAACTTTGCAATTTTACTCATTTAACGATGCTCTTTCCAGCTATGGTGATGGATTTCGTTCTTCTTATCCAGATCAAAATTTCGTCTGTAGCTGGAATCATCCATTCAGTCCAAAACAAATCTACTTTGCCTATACAAAGCATAACCTGATTTGGAATTAATTAGTAATCGGATTTCATAGATGCAGGTCGTTTTTCTGTGATGCATGTGCAGTATCAAGTCGGTTTTTTTTGTGTTTAACTTTTTTTTTAAATACTGCACAATATCATTGACTGTAGCTAAATATATTATTTGTGCGAGTCCCACAGATATATGAGCACGTGTTCTACTGTTGTCCATGCCATGTTAGAAATCGCATACTTTTTGGTATTTGTATGAACGCCGCAACTCACCTTTATACTCGACTTGTCTTGGACGTCCTTTTTTGAATCGAAAATTATCAGAATCCTTGCCCTTGGAATGTGTTACGCTCAAGTCGTTGTGAATATACATCGGTGCTCCCGTCTCGTTATTAAACAAAAAACCTTTAGTATCCAAATACCACTGTTGTTTCGTATCACTTAACTTACAGGGAAAGACCATAGCTTTGTTTTCTGGCCCAACTGCGAGACAGATTAGTCTGTTCATGTTCATGAAATGATGGTCCGGTGTGTAATTCCATAAATATCCTTTTGAGGATTCCCAAGTTTGTGTGAGAACTAGGTCCGAATCAACGAACATGTAGTGACTGCTGCTGCTGCTGCTGCTGCTGCTGCTTATGAGTACGTCTTCTTTTGGCACTGGAAAAAAAATAGTCTGTATAAGTAATAAAGTGCATAATGGTCAATATTTAACAATTATTCGCCGAAGGCGAGGTGATTATCGGGGAATATTCGCCGAGACGAAGTCGAGGTGGATATTCCCCGATAATCATGCACCGAGCCTGAGGCGAATAACTGTTTTAATATTTTTACACAAGTCCTTTGTGTTTTTTGGGACTGAATTCATTTTAATTTCGCTTATTTCTTTTTCGGTAACTTCTACAAAACGGCTAGCCGCCATTTTGTAAATTTCGGTTTTGTTATATTCACCTGTAGGTGAATATTTAAACAACTTAATACGTCAAATTTGACCAATCAACTTGTAGGATTTGTTATGTTCTCTTGTGCAAAAATACTAATAGTAAATATTAATACTGGTAAATATTCCTGCATCTTGCAATGAAATGATGACGAAAGCAATACATTGCAAACTGCATGCACCGAGGATCGATGATACATCGACAACTTAATTAACCTAATTCTCTTTTGTTAAAATTGTTGTAAAGTGATTGTAAGTGTTTGTATTTCTGAACAATGTATATATGTATGCATAAACGGCCCTTGAAAATGAAGGGCTACCGTTTTCAAATAATTTTAGATAATAATAATAATTTTCAAACGTTCGCAATTTAACAACGCATGCAGTTGGAAATGTATTCGGCTGTTCTTCGACTTGTTTTATTTCTCTTGTCATGGAAGTGCAAAGTGCACTTCACGATTGGTAGTCGCTTCACTTTTCCACACATGCAGCAGGGCTGTTTTTTGAACACGCAGCAGGGTGCAGTTCATCAAGAAGGTTTACTTTCTCCTCATCAGTAAGTTTGTTGATTTGTTTTTTCAACCGATTCAATAGTCAGCGCAGACGCTGAAACTTTGTCTAAAACTGGATCTTCGTTTTCAACATGAAAACAAAGTCCTGCCAAGTGCATTCTAGATGCCTGATAGGTTGCGGGTTAAATTTTCTTAAAAATTGCGTGTCAAGTTGCAAAAACCACGTTACACGTTGCAAAAAGTAGACTGAAGTTCGACATCTATTGCAACTTGCCTTTTTCGATGCGAGACAAGTTGCAAAGTGGGGATGTCACATGTGCAATTTTTGGTACAAATTGCAACTTGCAACGCAACGCCGTTGCTTACAAGTTGCAGCAAAAATTGCCTCGTGTAACATGGCCTTAATGGTAGCCTGAAAGTTTCGCCCTTTCCGTCGACCCGCGAATTTTAGGGTGGGCGAAACGTAGGTCTGTTTTCAGGCTACCTATTAACTGTACTTCATGACACTAATGGCTAAATTATGAAATTCCACATTGGCCGCCATAGGCCATTAGTAATTTTAGTGTTTACTTTTCATGATAGTTAATGCTCTTGTGTGTGTTTACACTAAGACCGACTATGATCCGTCAGATCACAATCAGACTAACGATGTACTTGAACACAGTTTACATAAATTGTGAAGTGACGGACTTGATCATCCTATCTAGCAAAAATCGGGGAGTGAGCGATTGCAGAATACCCGCCCATAGTTGAAGGCATGTTTATAATATTTCTGGCTACGCGGTATTGCTAGCTACGTGGGTACGCAATGAAAGTTCCATTGACGAGCCTTTGCCGCCTTTTGGTATGTTCTATTTTGACCCTAACGCCTGTATTCTAAAAGCTCACTCACACTCAAAGATTGGACGTTTAATCTGAACTTCCCTCGAGTGTCGAGGCTGTTTTTGAATAGCTGGATGGTTTGTGTCGTACCTTACTATGTGACTATTTAAGGGAAGCTCAGATTGAACCTTCACTCTTTGAGTGTGATTGTGCTTTTAGGATACAGGCGTACATACATGTTGCTTACAAGGCAGCTATACTTTTAACCGCCCGGGCTACGCAGTGAGTTTCTGAAAGAACGATCTTTGAAATAATGACGTGGGTTGTAAGGTAGCTATATTCTTGCTGGCTACGTTGATACACAGTGGTAGTATAATTTGGTGTAAAATTACCAAAAGGAAGGCATTTCCGTTTTGCTTTCTTCAGTGATCAGCGCTGGGCCTACAGCGTGTGATTCAGTAGCCGCGTAGCTGGCGTTTTATTGAGGCGTGACAGCGAAAATTAGCCCTTAAAGCCTCTGGAAATGTGGCTACGTAGTGAAAGGTAACTATTGGACAGGTATTTCTGCAATTTAGCCAAATATTTACTTGAATCTTTAACCAAGTCCAGATCACTGACACAACGGCCTCCATCGTTGACCTTCCCAACAAAGTTCCTTTTCTTTTCTCTACAATAACAATTCGGGCAGGGATATGTTGTGTCTTCGTTCGTTTCATCACAATTAGCATCGTAGCGGTGACAAATATTCGGACAAATTGTGCTGTCACAATCTGGATTAGGGAAGAAATCTCTATATTCTCGATCTACAGTAAACATACGATCGCTGAACTGTAACGAATTGTTAACGCTTAACCAAAAGGTTAGGAAAAGTTGAAGTAGAATCGTAACTTCAGTTGTCATCGTTGAACCACGATCAATTATTTTGAAAGGCTGGCTTCAAATCTTCAATGCCTTGAATCTTCGCTATGTTTGTCTCAAGTGTGCAGAACTGCAGATGACAAAAGGGAAGTATTTTTGTTGCCCTTGCAATCTGATTTGAATAATAACAGCTAATGACGCTGTTATTAGTGTCTTAGATTACATTTGTGTTAATTTGCAATAAGATCATGTGATAGGAGAAACATAATTTTCACAAATAAGAATGCAACATTGATGAACATTGAACATCGGTGAATATTTCTACCTAAAAAGCGTTAAAATCCTGCATAGACTATACTCTCAGTACTCTGGGGAACTCGCCCTAGCTAAACATGATAAAGGCAATGTATTCAGGTGAATATGATGCTTGTGATGTTACTCTGAATGTATATATCCAAACCGGGCAAGATTGAAAAATATGCCTGGCCACGGTGGGAATCGAACCTACGACCTTTGGAATACTAGCCCAATGCTCTGCCAACTGAGCTACAGGTCGGTTCGAGTATGTGATATTTCGGAACCGAATCTAGTTCCTTCGATATCAATGTAATGTAATAATCATGATTATTTTTTCTGTGGTAAAAAAACCTGTGTTAAAAGTTAAGCCTGGTTCACACATCATATGCCTGCGCGATAATTGTGTACAGCTGTTGATGCATACAGTCTTTTGTGATTATTTGGTTGAACTGGTATAACGACAACAGCCCGCCGACATACCGCAGATACATGTGATGATGTGAAACAGGCTTTAAAATGGTCAATTCTCACTGCAAAGTAGGACATCTCTGACTGCAAAAAGGCAGGTCAGTTATAATTGTCTTAGGAATAGTCGCACAGATCTACGTCTTGCCGCAGATTGTCATTAATTTTACATTGATATGTCAGGATAAAAAATGCAAGTGGTATTTCAATATTTTAAAAGTTGGAGTAGCGCAACCTCGTATCCAGGGCCTTTGCGCGGTTCAGAGCTCTGAACCGCGCAAAGGCCCTGGGTACGATGTTGAGAGTAGCGTTGAACGGAAGCAAATTCCAATTTGCTAATTTACTGTTTGCACCGGTTTGCAGCATGCTTGTAGATAATTACAGGCAAGCATGCTGTAAAGTCAAGGAGCAGAATATCAGTATGTACTGAGCCACAAAATAGAAGGCCATTTTTTTATGTTGAACTGTACACCGTGAACAAATCCTTTCTCCCAACTTTCAA